CGAAGTTTCCAATAGCACTCCGTGCACGCCCGCACGTGGTATTCTGTGGAAGAGCCACACTCAAGGGCCAAAGAGCTGCATGTGGCTCGCGAGCCGCGGTTTGCCGACCACGGGCCTAGAGGACACATTCCTGGGCCAGATACCCCCTCTGCTGAGGACACCACCGTGGATGGGCTGGGACGAGGCACAGCCGGGGGAGGGGCCTGAAGGGTCCACGCAGCCTCCATTTCCAGCCACATCAGCAAGCTTGGCCCTCGGCCCCTGTTCACGTAGCTGCAGGGCTTCCTCCCGATGCTACCCTGGTACCACAGTGCCCTTGGGATGAGATGTCTGCATAGGGCCTGGCGCCAAGGGTGCAGTAAGATAGCTGCGGACACCCAGCATTGGGGCTGTGTGTGGTAAGGGCCTGGCCTGGGGTCCCCTCCACACTCAGACCCCCTAGGGCAAGCCCACCCGCCCGTGCTGGAATGAAGGGTGGCAGAGCTCTGGGGTCTGGCGTTGGACTAGAAGAGTCCCAGCTGCCACCACGGGAGGTAGGGAGCGTGTCTGTCAGATTTAGGTCAGGGTCCAGAGTATCTGCACAAAGACACTGAGACGGGAGGTCATTGCTACAGTTTGGAGGCCCAGGAACCCAGGCTGGGCAGCGTCAGGAGGCTCTGCAGGTGGGCGCGGGGCTGTTAGCCACAGGGTGCTGCTGCCCTGCACCTGGAAGGACGCAGCCAGCTCTGCCTTAGGCCGTGGTGGCACTCCCTGTGTAGGGACCGAAAGGCAAGGTCCATGTCTAGAGGGGGGACGGGTAGCTGGGCATTTGCCTGCATTTTGCAAGTCAAATGATTTAGCAGGAAAGTCCAAAGGGCCTGCCCACGGCAGGTGTCCCAGGGATTGGCATCCCCCTCCCCTACGCTCACAGGGTGCCCAGGCCGCACCCTGCCCTTCCCATGGAGGTCAGGGACACAGGGCAAGCCCAGAGAAGACTGGGGGTGGAGGTCCCCTGCCGAGGGCTTTCGAGAGGAGCCCTGAGTTCAGTGTGGAGGCGGAAGTGGAAGAGAAAGGTGCGAGGCCGCTGGGAGGCGGGGTCTCGGGAGGCGGCCGGCGCCGAGGGGCCAGACCTGACTCCCACCCCCTTCGCCCCAGCCTACTTCTGCCTGCAGGTGATCTATGCGCGCAGGGCCTTCCGCGTGTCGCCGCCGCTCACCACCGGCCCCCCCGAGTTCGAGCGCGTCTACCGAGCCCAGTGAGACGCGGCGGCAGGGCCCGGGCAGGGGCGCGCGCGCCGGGGCGGGCAGGGTCGCAGGCCCGGCGACGCCTCACGCCGCCCCGCCCTCCGCAGGTGAACTGCAGCGAGTACTTCCCCCTGTTCCTCGCCACCCTCTGGTAGCCGGCATCTTTCTTCCATCGAAGTTCTGGGCGCGGGCAGGGGCGCGCGCT